TGTTGTTGTTGTTAATTTACGTCGCACTAGAGCTGCACAATGGGCTATTGCCGACGGTCTGGGAAATATCCAGGAGGATGATCCGAAGACATGCCATCACAATTTTGATCCTCTGCGGAGGGGATGGCACCCCCTCTTTGGTAGCCCGACGACCTGCGCGCGAAGTCGAGCACTTTACGGTAGCACAATTTAACGAGGACCAATACCGTACGTCCTCGGTCCCTACGCAGACTGATCCAAGTGGTCACCCACCCGCACACTGACCGTAACCAGTGATGCTTGACTTTGGTGATCTGCTGGGAATCGTGTCTTAACGATCAGTCCACTGCGGGACCATAGGCAATTAATATTAATATTATGTTATGGTACTAAAAATAATTATTTATATATTTATCACCACAGTGATAAGCAACTAAAATGCATAGAGGATTTACGACTCTTGAATATCTAATGTCGTATCCCTACTCCCCTACTTTATACAAATTCCAGAATTCGTTGGAAATTCTAAACTAATTATTGCAAATCAACTACTATAGATTATCACTAGATTGAAAGAATTTTGATTATTTATCCAAATGAATTAGAATGTGTAAAAACCAAATCACTTCCTTTATTTCTCATGTGATCGGTTTTTCAGAAAAGTTTTAGCTTACTAAACATTCGACATTTCATTAAAAAAAAAAAGAAAAAAAAACTATAATTTGGGAAAGAATGCATTTACAAAAAAAAAGTCATTATCCCAGATTCCATTGATATTCTCGATTTTGAGTCTACTTAAAAACGTTTTAAAATATAAGTTATTTAAAAAAAATATCGAAAATTAAACTCTAAAGCTAAATTGTACAAGTTCGCTGGACTACTACTCTTATAAAGATTCTATTCCTCTTATATCTATAATTCTATAATTCTACTCTTATAAAGAACACTAACATTTGCACGATTCATAAGTATTTGTGTTAATCATAACTTTTCATAGTCCATTTAAATTAGACTTTTTCTTCGGAAAAATTAATATCCAAGATCCTTTTTTTCTCTCCATAGAAAGCTTTGTAATGTACCCTTAAATCAGTGTTTCCCAAAGTGTGGTACGCGTACCTCACCCATACGGGAACAGTTTAGCCCGGGTACCTGTTCTTATGCGAAATATCTTGCAACAAACGAAAATTTCAAACAATTTTATTTAAAAACAAAGCTAGCCATGAAAATTTCCGAAAACGTAATTTTTTTTTCTATTGACTATTTTTTGCAGAGTTAACAGTTAATAATTAGTGGTGCTAACAGACAGTTGTGATTTTTAACTTTGTGTAATTTTTTATGGTAAAGGTTTGTAATAAATTCTACGCATTTTGATTATTTTTATAAAACATAATTTTTATCCCTATAACTGTTCTCACAGCAAAAACAATGTCACCCTTCTCACTGATGCAAATAAACTTATTAACAAAACTTTGAAACCAAAAAAGAAAAATAAACATATTTTTAAAAAATCGATTCATCTCTTTATTAGTGGTATACAGCGTTGCGAAAAATATGGAAAAGGGAACGCAAAATTCATAAGTTTGGAAAACATTGCCTTAAATGATACATGAAAACTCTCCCATTTGAGGGAAATGGAGGTTTTTGAGGGGGATAGTTGAATTTCTTCTAGGGAGGTAAGTGGGCAATTTAAAGTTTATAAGTAACTAATGCCAAAAGAAATCCTTTTTCTACATAAAAACTTCAAACTATTCATTATATTGATTAGTGTATAGTTTTATTCGATTCAGGGTAAAAGTTACATAGGAAACGATGTCTTACTTGTTGAGTTAACAATATCAGACGCATAAATTGGTACAAGTACAAATATGTACTTTTTGTACATAAAACCCTAATAGCTTTTAAACTATTGGTCTGATCATCTCGTGATTTGTCTCATTTCATTCCGCGGAAAGTAAGGGATCAGAAAAAATACCGCTTTTGCGTGTGTAAATTGTTCACAATTCTCCCCCAAAATCACCCCCATTTCCCGTCTAAAAAGAGTGAAGCGTGCAGGGGGAGTAAGGGAGTTTACAGGCATTGTTTATAGAGACATAGAAAAGCTTTTTATAAAAAAAATAAATAAATAAAAAAATTGGGTATAAATTTTTCCAAAGAAACATCGTTTTTTCTTTTTTTCTTGTTACTTTTTCGCTATAATTACTGAGCTACCATAAAAAAAAAATTAAGATTGGATAAATTTGCTTAAAAGAGGATCCTGAATTTTCAAGATAATAATAATAATATTAATAATAATAAATAAATAAGTGAATAAATAGGTAAATAAATAAATAAATAAAAACACTTTGTTTCGTTGTATTTTCAGAAAATAAAAGTATGTGAAATATTTTACGAAGTTGGCTTATCTAAATTTAAAATTTTGAGTCAAAACGGCTGAACAAAACAGTGTTGTGTAACTTGCATCACATCACAGATGATAACTACAATACTTCAATGACGTGATATATTGCCCTCAACTACTTTTTTACTGCGTCCTATCGATACTTTAGCAGACAGAAACTTTAAAATATTGTTTACTTTATAGTTTCTGTAGTATATTTATTTAAATATTAAACTTATTCAGCAATAATTAACTGTCTAAAGAAATGCTAATCTATAATTATATAATAATAATTATATCTAAAGAAATATCAAATACTTATTTACTGTTGTACGAAAACTATATGATCTAAAATTTGTAAAATAAATTTAATTCAATATACTAAACTACTTGAACTACTGAACTATATTAACAATTCTATCATTCGCTTTTTTGTTTGCCTTTTGAGCATCATAATAGTTTGTATAATTCTTTTTCCATTTGTTTTGTTCCCCTTCTCAATTTCTTCTTTGACAGAATATAATTAATCAGCTACTTTGAGTGATTCTAGGTATAGCGAGTGAATAAAGAAAAACTGATTTAAGAAAGGGAAGTAATTAATAAATTAATGTATCGGCAAATCAATTTTTAAGTAAATAAAAAAAAGTTAATACAAGTCTATAATTTGTGGTAGACAGTCTATATTTTATACAAGTTTATATAAATCTATAACATGTAGTTTATTGTGGCTAATGTTGCAGTTGATATTTTCCTCGTTTATGTTTAATAGTTAAATTATGCATGGATGAAATAATAAAATTGATTGAAAAATAATAAAAAAATTATGCAATTTTAACTCAACTCATAAAACATCGGTAGTTTGAGAATGATTTTCAATTATCATTCTATTCAATTTTTTCAAAATCTAAAATACGTAATCGACATGACATTAATCAATAACAATTTTCGAATAAAAATTCTGAATGTAAACTATAGGAATTATATATTCCTTTAAAACAATGAAGCTACTGTTTTAAATTAATACATGAAATTAGTTCTGTAAAAAAATATTTTTCTTTTTAACTTTCAAGCAAAAACTATCATAATTCAAGCATATGCTAAATAATAAAAATGTAAATTATAGATCTACAATTAAAATGAACTTTTGACATTTGAGCTTAACATATTTCTTGCATGACAAAAAATAACTCACAGTTAATTTAGCTAATTAATTTCAACTTTTGAAATTTGAATTTTTATTTAGATGTAACGTTAAGATTGCATTAAAATTTTTCGTCTGAAGTATTTCTATATAATTAATGGGTAATATTTTAATTAAAATAATTCATTATCTTTTTCGCAATTTCAATTCTTCCTTGAATTAAAAGTGTAATATAGTGCACAATTTGTTTAATTATATTACTTAATACTTATTTTTCTGTGTTAGATTTAAAGCTTCTTTAAAACAAAATTAAAATAAAAGTATTTATCCATTG